ATTAAGGAACATTAATAGTATGTTATTCAAAAACATATAATGGCCAAAAATAACATATTTTTTTAATTTGTATCATTTAGGGTGTTCAGCATGCTCTCAAATATGTTATTTTTGTCTCAAATATGTGATTTTTTTATTTGTATCATTCAGAGTGTTCAACATGCTCTTAGTGTGTCTAATAGTTATATCCTCACAGTATTGGTGGAAGTTTTCTGCACAATGGAACTGTATTAATTCCTCCACTTTTTCTTGCAGTCAACACAATACAAGGAATTTATTGATAAGGTCAAAAAATATAAATTTTGCTCACCAAAAACAGAAGAAATGAACTATTCTTTATTTTATGCTTTATTTTTTGAAAAGAAGATAAAATGATAAGTTCAAAAACGTGAAGAAAAGATAAATGCCTAATACTACAAAATGAATGGTTAGAAAACATTTTGCATGAGCAAGTGCATTGTATTTTAGTATATTAAATTGAAACCTTTTTTTATTATTTTATTTGTTAATACAGAGATTATTTTATTAACAAAACACTTCCAACTGATTTATCCCAATTGCTTTGAAATAACGGTTTTGGCTTTTTACGTTCTAAAGCCTAGCCTTACATTGAAACTGATAAAAACTATACTCTTAACGTGATTAAGGTAACCAAATATTTTATTTATTAGGATTTGGATCGGGCTATTTAACTTTCACAAAATTCTTTTCGTATTAATTTTTTGTAGTATACATTACCTTGGAAAAGTGGCATAAACTAGAAATGCATAAAAAAATTTACTTCAAGACAAAATCTGTCCATGATAAACAAGTAAGTTAGAATAGTCGTAAGAGTTTAGATCATTATCTAAAACCTTTCATTTTCTTTTTAGTCTAACCTTTTCTGTATAATATTTTAATGAATTTAAAGTTTAAAAATATTAATGGATTATGAATTCCTACACACCTTAGTAAATAGGCTTAACATTCTAAAATACCTGCAAAGCATGCCCTACTTCAAAGAATCTTCACGTATACAATGGACCCTCTCTAAAACGATCATCTAGATATCCAAATTATTTTTCTCTTTTATAGAAATGGTCTTCTTAGAGAGATGATATAAAATATTTATGTGTAAAAGAAATATTGTCTGCTTTCAGAAGTAGTTATCTTAGAGAGAGGATCACCAAGAGAAGGTTCACTGTATTTCATTGATACGCACCTTTATTCATACACATATTCTAGTATAGATTATAATAATACATTCTAAATTATAGATAAATAAAGTCCTGTTAAGGGAATAAGCGTCTTTTATGGCGAAGAAACGATTTTGATTGTTTGAAACCTTTGATTTCTCATTTGTTTCTTCCAGTGCAGAAAACTTATCAGTTTTTCCCTCCTAGATAACACAAACGTGAGTAATTATACTGATATACGGACAACACTAAAAACACTCTAATAACTGTATAAGTTAAAAAAATAGAACTTAAATTGTTAGTTTTCTCCTGAGTCTGTTCAGTGACAGAATAATTTGCAATCTAAACTTGCATGCGTATCATCAATGAACTAATTTTGAATCAAATGGGAGAAAAATAATGTTCAATAATTTAAAATTTAGATGTTTCAACCTCAAAATAAATGCCGCTTATTCCTAAAAAAGTGTTTATATTTTAAACTTTGTTTAATATTTAAAAAGAAATATATATGTATATAAACAAAAGTTTAACAATTTCAGAACTAAATTAATTAAATAATCCACAGCTATTCATTAAACAGTCAAGAGACACCTTTTGATTTTATCTCTTCATTATTATTTATTATTATTATTATTATATATTTCGCGATATTCATTCGTTGTAAATTCAATCCAAGTGGCGTCTTAGCGACATAAAAGATTTATGATTTAAGACATAGCTGTGCTTATTTCGTTGAATGTCTTGTAGAGACATTAGGGTATACGCGCCAAGTGTGCTGGCGCTTTCTACGAGTATTACACCACGAAGACATGCTAAGGAGGCGGGAGGAATACCTTAGAGTCTTACATACGGGTTTGGGAACAGACTTTTTCCTCGAGTAGCAATAATTTTTATTTTGCCAAGATGCAAAACTTTTTATTAAAGCATAATTTTTTTAACTTTTGATTAACGACTAGCAGTAACTGAGATGTTTCGCTTAAAATCATGAACTCGCACGCCAGTCAACGGATGGGAGAATTCGACACGTTAATCTAAAGACATCAGATTGAATACACGAACTTTTCCTCATGCTTACGTACATTCGCATTTCCTGAGTAGAAAACAGAGGTACTGAGAAGAAAGAAAAGTTTGAATTAAAATTAGTTGTAAAATTTTTTAAAAAATCCTAAAAAAATTAACTAGCTTAAATTTTAAAAAAAGAGGTTCTGTGTAAATATTACGTAAGTCATAACTTATGGTCCTTTGGAATATCTCTTCTGCCTTTTGAGAACCTGTTAAGGATCAATAACAAATGAAACTGAATGCTAATTTTAGTAGCAAGATAACTGTAAAATATAAAGTAATAATTTCAAAAACATATATTAACTACCTACTACACTTCAGAAGTGGATCAAAAGAATTGAGACACTTTTTCAGAATACAAAAAAGCATCCTTTCTACCATACCTGTAAAGTTGACCTTGAGAATAACATTTAGTAAGGTAATAATAAGGTAATAACTTGCCATTAATAATTAATAAGTAATAATTTAAGTTTTACATTATATTTTTTCTTAATAATAAAGATATCCTAGATTCGTTTGTTCGATAAAATCAGCTTATATTTTATGAATATAAGCAATGTATTTAACAATCATTTAACAAGCAATGTATTTAGCAACGTATTTATCTTTAACAATGTATTTTATTCAGCGCTTTGAATCTTTAGTCACAACTGTATTTAACTCCTTGATTCATTCACAAATGCAACGAAATATATATATTTACCTAAGCATAGGATTACGCTAAATTTTATCCGATGACATATCTAATCGCTTGCATGGCCAGTCGCCTTAAGATAGTTATTGAAATAGAAAGAAAATAACAATTTCAACGAACGCATTTAGTGTCATTTCACATATTCAGCTGATTATTAATGCTAACAGAGACGAAGAATTGATTTTATAGATTTTTAAATTGCTCAGTTGGTTAACCAATAACAGATAGCTTAACTCTGAAATAAAAATATCATACGCTTTGCGAAAAGTAACACAGTGGCACGTGAAAGATAAAGTGTTTTACTTGGGGAGGTGATAACACATTTCTCTTAAATTGTTGAGTTTGTTGACAAAATTTGAAAAATCAATATCTTACGTCCTGCCGGTTGACAATTATTGCCGATTATCGTTTTTTTAAATCGTTTAGTTTCCTGATTAAAACGTAAATATTTTAAGCTCTGTCTGACTGGCAACATATTGCTTTTTAATTGGTGAGGGTGTTAATCAAAATGTCATTCATTAAAGTTAGCACAAAATATAAAATAAAGTAAAAAGCAAACTTAAAATTCAAATTTCGGGCTTCGAGGTTCACATGTTCGTGAGGTTCAATGTGCAGTCAAAAGCTGATGGCTCTAAGTACCATCCTTTTCCCACAACGCGAGGAATATCCATGCCTGGTTCATACCTACAGATCTTTCATTATTTAATAACAGAAATAAATTTCTTCAAAACATGGTGAAAAATACAAGGTAAATGAATTTAGATAAGAAAGAATTGACTATGAACTGTAATAAAACTTAATATACTGAAAGCCTTCAGAAGAGGGACAAAACAAAACTTAATATACTGAAAGTACTGACTATGAACTGTAACAAAACTTAGTATAATTTTAATAAACAAGCATAATTTTAGAAATTGATCAAATGAGCTCATTTATTGCAATTTTTCAAGATGGAAGAAACTATAATTTTTGTAATGAACAGCAAAAAAAAAAAAAAAAAAAAAAAAAAAAAAAAAAGCTACTTTATCATTATCTTTTATTTTTTTATACCTAATTTTATTTTTTAACATCCGAAGTTTTAAAAGCATCGAATTTAATTGTCATTAAAATATAAAGGACCGTTATGTTTAAATATATGCATTCTTTAGCGACTTTTTTAAAGCTTTAACAGTAATTTTTAATTTCACATAAGTATAGTAGAAAAGGCTTTTTAATTTTTTTTTTTTTTTTTTTTTAGAAATTATACAATAACTATTTTAGAAATAATAAAAATTAGGTAATTTATTATTCTAAAAATAGAATCCATTGACACAGTTCATATAACATTTAACACAATTATGAAACTTGAAAAGAAATGCGTGGTTTGCTGTCTATTTCCTGGTAACTCTAAACATTGTTTCCGAAATCCTTCCTTTTTTCACATCATTTATGTGCATCGCATCATTTAAATGACCCTGAAGCATCAAAGACATATCTGAAGCCAGATCTAATGCTCAGACACCCAGCACCCAAAAAAGAAAACAGAATACCATATTTCATTTTCTTGCCCTTAAGCAATCAGGAAATAAAGAAATTGCGTTGCCATCTTCCCTAATTTATAGCTGACATTCGGACCCTCGGAGGTTAAGAGGAATCTTCCCTTTCGACAGCCAAAAAGAAAGTAGGATCTTCAGAAGAGGGAACTGACCATCAAGGGACGAGAAACAGGTTGCCATGAGGAAACTTGATTGTTAAAAGGGAAAGCCGGTGGAAGGAGGAAGGTGCGGAGGAGACACCATCTATCGAGGCCTGAATTTTACGTCACAGGAGATAGAGCAGGTGAAAGATTAACACACGCTCACAAAAATAAAAAAGCAAAGAATGAAAGTAATAATAATAACGGAAACCAAAATATCATCCGTCAGCGCAACTCGTGTGGTTAGCTTTGCGTGCTTTACCTGAGGTCCTGCTAACCTAGTTTGGACCGGGGACCAAAACCTGATGCCCGAGCTACCATTGGTTGACGGGATGAGTTGAAAATTTTAACGGAGGCGGAGAGTAAAGGTGCTACTTAAAAAAAAAAAAAAAATATAGGGGGGAGGGAAATTTTTTTCTTTCGTCATCGCGATTTTCATGCCTTTGTTCGGGCCTTTCGTCTGATATATAAAGAGGGACCGCAAATTTGGTCGACATTCAAACATTCTCTGTCATCTCTTCTGCGAACAGCCATGGCATCGCGGAAGGTAGGTGCTTTAAGATTCCTTATTCTTGGGATAACTCTTGGATATTGGCTTTATGTTATGTGCATCTCTAAGTGAGGATACTTCGATCCAACGAACCTGCGGATATATCAGTTTCATGAGTATTTCTGCCTAATGCACAGGGATTAATTTTTGACAATAATGTCGAATTCCTAGTGCTTAAATGTCAAATATTTAGTTTCTGAGCGATATACAACTAATATTGAGTGTTCAGTGCCAACAGTTATTACTCATTAAAAAATACCGCTTTTCCAAATTGATTAGATATAATATTCTTTGGACCATACTATACAGAAATTATTTAACTAAGTTCTGTATTGCAAACTGATTCAAAATTTAATTTGATGTCATCGTATATCATTCAATTAATTAACGTAATGCATCTCAAAATTTCTGAACAGGTATTGATTGCTTGCTGAATATGAAATACAACTAGTTTGTAAAATTATCCTGTAAAAAAATTTATAAATTCATGGATTTTTCTAATACATACAGCCATTTCTTACAGAAGAGAAATTATTTTTAGGTGGCTGAATAAAGCTTGCGTCTTTATTTTTGGCATTTATTTCGGATATAAACGTAAGCATTGGTTGTTTCAAGACATAAACGGTTCGTTGCTTCTTAGTGTCACAACGTTGATTCAAAAATTTTTCTACTGTATTTTGTATGATCATTTTCGTCAGCAATATTTCATACAGAAATGATACTGATTTTAAGAGCTTTTTAATACCGATGTTTATTTTAACTTAAAGATTTCAACTAAATTTTACGAGCAAGAGATATCTTATAGTATAGTAAATATTCTATAGAGTTACTTAAGCTTGAAGATATAGACTGTTATTCCCCCTCTTAAAATGTTTCGAAGTTTTTATTTTAATTAAAGCTAATCATATGAATAATATTTTAAATTATCAATTTTTTACCACATGTCCTACTGTTCTCCGTAATTTAAAAGTTATTTTAAAAATTAATTTTATGAAACTTTATAAACTACTGTATGTTTCATATGACAATGCTTCTTTTTCCATCATAATTATGATAATTCTATTGGAAATCTGTTACAATAATGTCTGTCTCAAATAATGTGTTATAAATTTTTTCCAAATATTCGATTATTTTAAATAACGCATGACATATCTTTTTGGGTAGAATTAAATATAAAATGCTAATAGTATCCATAAATTATTTAGCAATTAAGTAAAACATTATCGAGACAAGCCATCATTCGTTCCATTTTGGGGATGAGGACGATTTTCCCTCTGAAGGGCTTTTAGTGAAACCTTGTGCTTAGTAATCGAGAATGAAATACTGATAAGCTTCTTTTATATGTATTCTTATTTTATTAGTATTTAAGTATCTATTTCTCTTAGACTTGCTTTTTCTAAATTTCATCTGAAATTAATGTCTGCACAATTCTGATATTATAACAAAATGTAATTTTCATTACATTTTTATTAGATTAATTTATTCACAAGTAGCTCAGATTACAAACCCAGCAATCGAGCTATGCTACTACTAATCTGTCTAGCTTTAATTCATTTTTAACGCTTCTATTTCTGTTTTTACTTAAAGTACATCAGTGGCCAAGTAGGTGAGACTGCTGAACACTGATGATTCACCTAATGTTCAACTGCATGGGTATTTCGGGGCTTTCCCTTAGTGTAGCATGACTATAAGCCAGTTTCCTTAGAATGTTGCCCGCGAAACAACTTTCCATTAGATAAATGAATTCGCGGGTTTTGCATTAATTAATTAGACAATTATAGCTGCATAATTTTAGTTATTGGCACAGATATAAAAATAAGAAGCAATTTTCTTGATACATTTAAAATTGATACATAGAACTGAAATTAATATTATATAACAACAGATTAAGAATTAAATGGAAACTAAAATCTTGTCTATACACTTGATCTAATTCATTATGTTTCCTAATTCCCAATGTCTAATTTAAAGTATAATTTGAACCAGTTCTCTTTCATCCTCTCTCCGCTTCCTTACATAGACTCTTCCTTATTACAAACAATTGCCGTAACGATTACTCCAAGGATAAGGACCTGACCAAGGAAAGACTAATAACAGAGTCTCGAGAAAATGCTTTATTGGATTTTATTCCATATAATCAAGCAAGAGATATTATAACATTACAAAGGAATATTTCGTTACGCATGGCTGCCAACTGGCTATAGGTGAAAGCATCGGAAAGGGAAAAGTCTGCGCACACACAAATAGCTATTGAAAGTGAAACCTGTTGATCGTTTCCATACAGAAGAGAAATAGGCCATGATAACCAGCTGTCCCCCCCCCAGAAACACCATTATTCATTCTAATACATCAATACACAGAAGTAGTTTTAAGTATATGCTTTATAATACCATCTAAAGCTTGTTAACATTTTCCCAATTAACTCTTTGTTCCAAGCAATTAATTGGTATGGGAGCGATGTTATGAACACTTACTACATTAATGAGTATTCTGAATAAAAGCAAAACATTGCTAAACACGAAAGATATTCATTGTTATGAAGTTTCCTCTTTCCTTTACATTACTGGCGTCCATTAAATAAATCATATGAGTAAAATTTTGTTCGGTAATAAAGAAACTATAGTATGAAGTCAAAATTAATAACACTTATGGGAAAAAAGAATGTTGAGCACTCCGATCTATATTTTTATTTATTTGAAAGTAACGTACAAGAGCTTTATTTCTGCATCAGAAACTAAATTTATTTAAGCATCTCACATAGCGCAACAAGCAGTTTTCCTTTTCTGAAAAATTAACGTCCAACATGCGATAATCATTCTTGCATCGCATTTTTGGTCCTTTTCCATCTGAGTGATATATACTTAGGTTCCTTTTCACGGGAATGAACATATGAATATCATAACTTTGGACAGTAAAACTGATGGCCTGTCTTTGAGACATCCGTTTACAGTAGCTAGGTGCGAAACAGCTTCGTTCACTGAATCAAAGATATATTTCATAGAAGTTAAGTTCTAAAACCGAGATGAAAATAAACGATTCACTACAATTTTATTCAAATTTATATACTAACTGAGGTAGATAAGCTATCTTCTCAACTCATGTCAGACATATCTGTTCCTGTTCTGTAGGAAATATTAATGAGAATTCAGGTAAAAAGTATAATGAAGTTCTTTATATAGAATAATATTCTAGGTAAATGCAGGTAACATTTTGACTCTATCATGAATCATGTTCATCTTCACTGTTTACTTTGATTTTTGTAAGAAATATATTTTGAATCTGATCCCGAACAACAGGCAAAAAATGGAAGTAGATATCGCCATTAAAATATTTACCTCATCATACCATACATTTTGTTGTTCTAGGATTACATTAAATATAAATTTAAAATTTTTCCTGTTTAAAAATATCTTGGAAGTAAGATGTAAGATCTATTTAACTGTAATTAAATTAAATATAGATTCTTTTTTAACTCATTGCGTTGATTTGATCATTTTCTTTATATACAAGACAAAATAATGTAAGTTGTTAATTGTCTAGAATTTTAAGAGTTTCAAATATATATAACTGCAATTTAAAATTAACACGTATAATATCAATGAAACGTTGTAAGAAAAACAGAACTTCATCTTTAATAAATAAGCTTTATACTCTAAATTCGCTGATTATATATATTAAAAACGAAAGTAAACATGCTTTGAAAGTTTTAAGAAGATCCACATCAAAATTTTAATCTTAATTAATTTTTATTGCATTTTAGAGGTTTAGTTTAAAAATTTTGTTTTTTATTGAATCGTGTATCCAACCTTTACTGACTGAATTATCAAACAGCGTTCTCCCAATTCAGTTATAAATAGTTCTCTTTCCCCAAAAACATTTCTTTTGCATAATACGTTATACGCCTAAACACGAATCTCGTTGCGTTACAGTTCTTTTTAAATAAAAAGAAGGCCCGAGGTTACAAACAAACACGGAGCAGTAGTTAGTATACTGATTAAATACACTTATGTTGCAAGCTGATAATTCGCAGCACATTTTTAGTTCTCGGATTGTCTACATTTAGATCCAACTTCATTTTCAATTTTTTTGTTTCCGACTACATGTCAGGCTACGCAAAATCTCAAAATTTTAGTCGCATGGAGTATGTTCTGGAACTAGACCCCAAGATAAATTTGCTGGGTTTAAGAAAGTAGAGTCAGGTAACACCTATAAGGTATTTTCTTCCTCTTTTCTGCGTGCCTTCGTGGTGGAACGGTAGCGCACTCGGCGCGTATTCGAGAGGTTCAGGTTCGAGTCCCAGCGAGAACAATGCACATTTTTTACATCTCCCGCATCAAAAAAAAATCTAATGACTCTACAGTGGCACCCGAATTAAAATCATCACCTGAATTTGGCGAATGGGCCCCCTGATCCCCAGTCGCCCTTTAAAAAAGGCGGAGTATATATAAAGTATTTTCTTCCTGCTTTCAGCATACCTTTATGGTGTAAAGGTTGCACACTGGGCGCGTATTCGAGAGTTCCAAGTTCGAGTCTGGGCGAGGGCAATGCACATTTTTCATATCTCCCTCATATATATATATATATAATAATGATTCTACACACTCAATACATAAATCTATTTAAAGTTTGTGAAGCATCAAAAACATTCAACGGAGATTCCAAAAATTTCAGCAACTATCCATCTGTTTTGTTATTAAAATAGCACTGTAGACTGTTTCTCAACAAGCAGACTATTGAAAACGATTTGAAAAAGAATTACGATGAGATAGTTCAAATACCAAAAATAAAATTCCAGAATCAATTCCTGTTAAGGATAAGTTTCCATTAACAGTGGCTATTAACTGGTTAAATGATGCTATAACTCTCTGATTTTTGAGATTATACTTCGACGTGAAATATGGAAGAAGTCATTTTGGAAGACTTAGTTTAGACTTTATCTAGCCAGTTAAACGAAGAATACATCCCACGTGTTGAATTATATATAATTCTCTTTACGTTTCATTGAATGATTAATATTATTACATTAATATTAATCATTCAATGAATTATGGTATTACAATAAGTATCTTACATCCTATACATCTTAATTACCTGATACAAAATTCAATCACTTAAGAAGTTATAAATTACCATTTCAACATTTTTTTCTATTTCAAGGTGAAGAAGTAATGTCTATTGAAAAAAAAAAAAAAAAAAAAATATGTTTTTATATTTGTGTTTTGCTTTGCTATAATTTAACTTCTAGATAAATAAAAGAAAATATTTTATAAATTTTTTCCCAGTTTCTAACTGCAAAACTACGGATTTAAGAAAGAAAGTTTCAAAAATTTAACATATCATAATATTTAGCGTCTTTAACTATCACGGATATCAAGCAAAGGATTTTTTTTACAAATCTTGTTAATGTACATTTCGTAAATATTATTAATTAAAAACCATGATAAATTTCGTGCGTCGTAATTATTATTAATTAAAACCATGATAAAAGCAAGTTAAAGTTACTGCATTTACTTATTTCTGTAAAGTGAAATAACGTTAAGTGCTTTAAATTTCCGTGCCGTTCCTGAGATGCTTATATTAAATTATTCATTTCTTTTGTACGAAATTTACTCCAGAACAAGTTGTGCATGCTTAGTTTTAAACGAAAAAGAGGTTTTAGTATAGTAAGTACTTTTTACTGCAACTTTTGAGCAAATCATAAGCGATGTTATGACCATAGCAGACTTTAAGTATTTTGCTGTAATGTCACAGACCTAATTACTGGTAGGTTTGTAAAGTGAAACTTCAAATTACATTGTAAGATCTAGAATTAGTATAGTCCAGAGAGTTTCAGAAGTCAAGAGAACATTTCTTTAGCAACATTAAGTTGGATTGTCGTAATTCTGTGCATTGCAGTGATTGGTTTTGGGACTAACTCTATTTATTTGATTTCTAATCGTATAACTTCACTTTTTATAGCTATAAATTTTAATTACACTGATTAATTATTTTTGTAAAGTACTGTAATTAGATATACGTATTTTGAAGGAATAAAGATACTCAGCCTAAAATATTAAGCAATTAGGTTGGACACACTACCAGAAGTTTCATTTAAAAGATTATAGCACGCTTTGTCTTTCATATACATATACAACCTTGTTCTTATACGTAGTAAAAAAAGAAAAATCTGATTATACCTGTTATAATCTCCAAATCAAATAGATAATTCAAATAGTATTTGTAATTTTGAACAATATCTTATTCTTAAGCCAACAAACGGAGTGTCCAAGTAATTATGCTAAAGACATAAGACAAAATAAGTGTATCTATGATATGTTAAAAGCAAATTTCAACTGTTTTAGAAACTCAATAAGAACAGCCATAATATTAAAACCTTCTTAGAGCGGGTTATGTATTCTATTAATTTTTGTGACGAATATTATCGTTAAACTGAATGGACCTTGATAAATCCGCTTTAAAGGCATTAAATAAAACTAGTTTACGAAATATAAAAATAATTTGAAGAAATAATAATTCAGTATATCTAATTTGCGATAAAATGAATTGAAATCTTTGCAAACGTACTATGTGAGCAAAAATTTTAAAAGCAAATGGCTCTTAGTAATAAAATATTTTTAGTATCTCTTTTGACATATTAATACATATATGTATCATGAAAGTATTGTTCATATACAAAAAGCATTTCCGACAGTGATAGAAACTAATTGTTCTTCTTGAATTTCCAGATCTTAACACTGTTTCTGACCGTTCTGTTTCTTGGGGGACATATTGCGGCGAAGGAAGCAAAGAAAGACGCTGTGAAAGAAAAAGAAGCTGAAGAAACAGCTAAAATCATCTCCGATTTGATTGCTGAAGCAACCAACTATGGCGGAGGAGCTGTAGCAGCCGCTGGTGGGTATGGAGGTGATGCTGGCGGATATGGTGGTGGTGATGCTGGCGGATATGGAGGCGGTGCAGCAGATAGCGGATATGGTGGCAGTGCTGCAGCTGGCGGATATGGCGGAGGTGCTGCAGCTGGTGGATACGGCGGCGGTGCCTCAGCTGGCGGTTATGGCGGTGGTGCCTCAGCTGGCGGTTATGGTGGTGGTGCCTCAGCTGGCGGATATGGGGGTGGAGCTAGCGGCGGATATGGAGAGGAAGCTGCTGGAGGCTATGGAGGTGGTGCCTCATCAGGTGGATATGGAGGAGAAGCATCATCAGGAGGTTATGGAGGTGGCGCCTCGTCTGGTGGCTATGGAGGCGGAAGCTCCAGTGGTGGCGGAGGGAAACATGCTGTACTTTTAGCCGTTCCTGTTACATTCGCTTTAGCTGATGCCGGCAAAGGAGGTTCCTCTGGAGGATATGGAGGAGGAAGCGCAGGAGGATATGGAGGAGGTGCAAGTGGAGGTGTCTCTGGAGGTAAAGCTGCAGGTGGTGCTGGAGGGTATGGAGGCAGCAGTGGAGGATATGGTGGAAGCAGTGGAGGTGGCTATGGAGGCAGTTCAGGAGGAGGTTATGGTGGCGGATCTGGTAAAAGCGCTAAAGGAGGCTCTGGCGGAGGATACGGTGGAGCTCAAGGAGGAGGTTATGGAGGTGGACAAGGAGGTGGATATGGAGGAGGTCTAGGAGGTGGAAAAGCTTCAGGAGGTGGACAAGGAGGCGGATATGGAGGTGGACAAGGAGGCGGATATGGAGGTGGACAAGGAGGCGGATATGGAGGTGGACAAGGAGGTGGCTATGGAGGAGGCCAAGGTGGGGGAAAAGCTGTAGGAGGTGGATATGGAGGAGGACAAGCAGGTGGATATGGAGGTGGACAAGCAGGTGGTTATGGAGGAGGCCAAGGTGGAGGAAAAGCTGTAGGAGGTGGATATGGAGGAGGACAAGCAGGCGGATATGGAGGAGGGCAAAGCGGCGGATACGCTGGAGGAAGCGGAAAAGGTAAAGGTGGTGGTGGAGGTGGATATGGAGGTAGCAGTGGAGGTTATGGGGGCAGTGCAGGTGGAAAATCAGGAGGTGGATACGGTGGTAGCTCAGGAGGTGGAGGATATGGCGGAAGTTCAGGCGGCGGATATGGTGGTGGCTCAAGTGGAGGATATGGTGGAAGCTCAGGAGGAGGATCTGGTGGAAGCTCAGGAGGAGGATACGGTGGAAGCTCAGCCGGAGGATACGGTGGAAGCTCAGGAGGAGGATATGGTGGAAGTTCAGGTGGAAAATCAGGTGGTTATGGTGGAGGAAGCTCTGGCGGATATGGTGGTAAATCAGGAGGAGGTGGTGGATATGGTGGAAGCTCTGGCGGCGGAGGGTATGGTGGAAGCTCCGGTGGTGGAGGATATGGCGGTAGTTCTGGTGGTGGTTATGGAGGTAGCTCCGGAGGAGGAGGATATGGTGGAGGAGCAGGAAAAGCTAGTGGAGGATATGGTGGAAGTTCTGGAGGTGGAGGAGGGTATGGAGGTAGCTCTGGTGGAGGTTATGGTGGTGGAGCAGGAAAATCTGGTGGAAGTGGCGGTCTTCAAGGAATAACATTAGTTGGAATCAAACTGAACACAGTATCCCTCGGCGGAGTTGGTGGAAAATCTGGAGGTGGTGGATATGGTGGATCTTCTGGTGGTGGATACGGTGGATCTTCAGGTAGTGGATATGGTGGCGGAAGTTCTGGCGGCTATGGAGACGCTGGAGGCAGCTATGGAGGAGCTGTTGCAACAGGAGGACACGGTGGATCTAGTGGAGGATATGGAGGTTCCTCTGGTGGTTATGGAGGATCTTCCGGAGGAGGAGGATACGGAGGTGGAAAATCTGGAGGTGGAAAATCTGGAGGAGGAAAATCTTCTGGTGGAGGAGGATATGGCGGTAAATCTTCTGGTGCTGGAGGATATGGAGGTTCTAGCGGATACTGAGGCGGAAGACGTTCTCGCCAAAAAGTAAGCTCAACACTAAAATTTTCATAATAATTAAGAAAATCATTTACAAAGTTACATATAATATGCATTTAAAAGCTTTATATTTCTAGTACTTTATGAGAAATTCTACCTTTCTTCCTCTCTCTCTCTCTATCTTTGTATATATATATATACATACAAAGAGTTACAAAGTTATTTATATAAGAGAGAGAGACAGAGAGAAAGAGTTATATATAAAGAAATATATAAATAGGCTAACAATTCGAACTGAAAAATTAGAATAATTTTTTTTAAACCCGTCCTGCGCTATAGATGCAGTATTGAAGTAGAATAAACTTAAAGGATCTAAATTAATTAGTAAATTGGAATAAATTGGCAATTCCTCTACAATATAATAATTGCAACCGTGTATAAGAGGTTTAACACAATATCAAAACTAAGCCAATTAAGGAGAGAGTTCATAGTAGAACAATCTCGAAAAATAAAAATGTGAAAGGGAAAATATGCAAAATTATACAAATAAAAATTAATCTCCTTTTATTGAAACTCTAGTTCAGAACTCATTAGGGTTCTTAATTTAGATCCTTTAAGTTTGCATATATATATATATATATGCATATCAGAATTTCCACTTTGCCGAAAATAATTTGTGCAATAATAAAACGTATTATTTCAAAACCAATTAAAATTAAATATGTAACAAAATTTTATTATCGTGCACAAAGAAGAAGACATTTACAACAAAATTATTAATGATATATTTTAGAACACTGAACTACTTGGGGCCATCTTTCATAAATCAGCTTAGCTAATCTTTTGAAACACATCTTTTGCATGTGGTATTTATTTTCAGGTCATATGTTTTTCGCAAAATCGAATTAAAATATATGTCCCTTTTTTCTATTTTATAATATTATGAAGGCTGAAATTAGTTAATTGGAATCTCGCTAAATGGTATCATTTGTTGCTTTAGATCGATATTTATTTTAAAGCTGTCTTGAATATGTAAATTTTAATACTGAGAAATAACAAAGTTCGGTGCTTAATAACGTGTTAGCAATTTGGATATCATAAAAGTTGTGATAGTAAATTTAACTCTTTTGAGGGGACTGGAAACGAAAAGACCATTTAATTCAATAATGCAAATCATTCTGACTTGTAAGCAGAATCATATTCTGAATGTCATTGAAACACCTTTGCTATAATGTTATTAAAGAAAGGTAATCATGGTTTAAAAGACTTAAAGATATCCCAGAGGTACTCAGAAAAAAAAACAGCAGCAATTTTTTTTTTTTTTTTTTTTTTAAACAGACCAGGTGCTTGGCCAACCATCTTTGCAACGCAGTTTCTTTTCAAAACCCTTTTGCGTGTTTTGCATGTATTTAGGATTTACAAAGTGCATTTGGAAAAACAAGAAGCTTAATGCACAAATAACTTTGCTATTTGCTATTATTTATATTATTTCTTGCATTTTTTTTGTACTTTCTTTTATGTAATGTCTTGCTAATTAGTGAAAGCAAAAGAATTTCCTTTAAACTGTAAAATAATTTATCTTGCTTAAGTTTAATAAAAGAATCATACGTAAATTTCAATTTACTATGGCCCTCGATTCAAAACAACTTTTTAAAGCATCCTTTTTCTTCCCTCTCTTCTAGGATAATTTATGATTGCCAATTGTACAGATGTCCCCAAGTCAAGAAAACAGGAAAGCAAATGTCCAAAGAGACTCAAAACAAAAGATGCTTAGTTATTATTCCTCACTTGGATAGTTGTGCCAGCAATGACAATATTGTGAAGGACTATTATTGCAATCGAAGCAGTAAGAAACGCCGTCTAATGTGCCGCCGCAGGATGCCAAGGATCAGAAGAAGAAAACGAACAAACTTTGTGCAATAAAATAACAGAACGTTCAGAAAAAGAAACTTTAAATGTAAATGAAAACGCATGAACTGCACAATATATTCTGTAGACAAAGGGACTAGTGTAATTAAAGATGTTTATTTGTAAAGTAAAAGCTAAGTACTGTATTTAGTGCTTTTTATTAATCTTTAGTTTTCCTCTTCACCATAATGAAAAATTCAGACAGTTACATTCACATATTTGTTGTGGTGTTCAAAGATTAAAGATGTTTATTTCTAAAGTAAAAACTAAGTACTGTATTTAGTGCTTTTTATTAATCTTTAGTTTTCCTCTTCACCATAATGAAAAATTCAGACAGTTACATTCACATATTTGTTGTGGTGTTCAAAGATTAAAGATGTTTATTTCTAAAGTAAAAACTAAGTACTGTATTTAGTGCTTTTTATTAATCTTTAGTTTTCCTCTTCACCATAATGAAAAATTCAGACAGTTACATTCACATATTTGTTGTGGTGTTCAAAGATTAAAGATGTTTATTTCTAAAGTAAAAACTAAGTACTGTATTTAGTGCTTTTTATTAATCTTTAGTTTTCCTCTTCACCATAATGAAAAATTCAGACAGTTACATTCACATATTTGTTGTGGTGTTCAAATTGTTATACAAGCGTTGAAGTTTAAGTAACATCTAGATATTTGATGCAGTTTATATATTTATGCTTAACTATGACGATAAAAATGTAATAGAGAAAAAAATTTTACAATTTTTTTAATATTATTTTAGAATTTATTTCTTGAACTTATCATTTCGCCATTTATGAATATTTTAAGCTCCCTAGCTAAAAGCTAGGGATATAATTTATGCATCTAAATTAAGTGAATTTTAATAAAAAATGGTACAGTTTCTTTTCATAAGTATCATATACCTGAGATATTATGTTCTTAAAAATGGATCAACTGATAACCTGGGAGAATACGATTTTTACTGAGAACAAAAATGAAGTAAAAATTTTTCAAAAACAAAATCTATGCGTTTGTAAATCACATGAATGGTGCATAATTCTAAGTTAATCAAACAGATAACTCTTAACAAGTTAATTAAATGTACATGAATTTGTTTTAATTGAAATATAATGTGGTGCATTTCAATGGAATTTATAAACATGCATCTAAATTCACTGGTTAACAGCAAAATTTATGATTAGTACTTTTATAACGAATTTAACTTGAATTAAAATACTTTTGTTACTTCAGTGTTTTATTAGTGTTTTGTTTGGTATTTTTGGTAAACTACTTTGATGCAATTATTTTGCAAAGTCATTTTTAGTTGAAGAATGGTTTCTCAAGTTATACATACATTGCTACACGAGGTATGAATATCTTTTATAAAACATCGTTTTTATTCTGTACAAATAAGGAAAAATGCTCACCTAGTTTCTGAAATATCTTAAGTATATTTCAACTCTTTTAATACTTAGGTCCATAATGATCTTAGGTTATTATGGAGCTAAGTATTAAAAGATAAATCTAATAATACTTAGGTTTTAATACTCAGAGTATTAAAACCGTAGATATTTCTATAGTCTTTAAGGAATGATGGAGGATGCAGCAGCGAAAAAGCAGTCTTTAAAGTCCTTAGATTAACCTTATTGCATACTTTGCCATTCATGTATTCTTAAAAAGAAATTTAAAGTGTGGTAAAACTGGACGTTCGTGGAGAATAGAAATTCGGTTCATCTTCTAAGGAAAGAGTTACGTGTGCCACCTGTATCAGAAACTTCGAAAGGATTCTGGTATAAGTCACTGGAAGATTTGAAATACCAAACTGTAAATGTATCTGAATTTCGATTTTTCACCGTTCTTTGAAACTAAGCAGACCCATTGCAGATATCCTATAATATCATACATAGAAATATATTTAATTGCAATAGGAAAGCAATTCAATTCCAGCTATTTGAAAGAAATTTAAATAAATTCATCAAAAAAATTAGTAAACTATGCGAGTAGTATTAGAGGCTGTTCCCGTCAGCATCATATTCTTCCCTTATGGAAATCCTGTGACTTTTAGCATTCCATTTTAGTAAAATAATTAGTGGTACATTAATCATACTTTGATAGCATCGAAACACAATTTAATTATACATTTTATTAATATTTTTAACTTTGAATTTAGTGAAAATATTTCCTGTTCAGTAGTATCATTTGTGTTCTCAATTTCCTCTGTTGATTTCGGAATTCATCGCTCTCTCACGTATCATATCCAGTATTTTTACCGAATATAAATCATTAACGTATTTGGCAGATACAAGTACTTCATTAGTCACATTGCATCTTCATTTAGTTGAAATAATCAGCACTCACACTTTCATAGACATTAAATGTCTTCGTGTAAATGCGGGTCGCAGAAAATTCTGCTATATCCGAATCGGAGCTTTAAATTCTATTCTTCACTTTGAACTTGACCAAACAGTATTACCCCTTCGAACTGCAGACGCCAAGATTTTTTATTGCTAATGTAAAACGTGTTCTTCCTGTAATAGCCTCTTCCGGATGATATAGCACGATTTATCAATACAGCTAACCTGTTAGGGATCAATGTAGCGGATGCGCTGTCCAAACCCTCAGTGAATCATCCCAGCGGCAATCAATGGCTAGAGCAGGGGTTCTCAACCGGTGGTACGCAAGAGAAAAATAGGTGGTACGCAGAGTATTTTTAACTATTAAATTTAAAAATTAAAACCCCAATATTCTGATTGAGATTTTTCTCTAACACTCGTAAATTTATGCGATCTGAGTGTTGTTCAAGAATGGTGGGGGTAGTAGTACTTTGTAGTGGTGGTACTAAAGGTTTTAAATTTTGGTTTAGATGTTACGCGTTAGTCAAAAGCTTGAGAACCGCTGGGCTAGAGTCTCTACTGTGTAGTTTTTCCCTCGGACACAAGAGGGAGGGGAGTATCAGACATTACTACCCCGACTAGTAATTGTGATTAGGGTGCAAACCCTAAATTACGTGATCTGAAAGCTGTCTGATACATTGAAATATTTCTATTATAAATTCTATATAAATCTCATCCGTACATTGTTATGCAATACAAATTTCCATCCTGATCATCACATTCATCAATTATCCGAAATGTCAAAAAACGTACTGTATTTATTTGAATATAAAACTGCGTTTTCTTTAAAATGCATTACTAAAATCCATATTTATCTTACCTGCGCAGTCAAACATTTAGTATGGATTCTATGTCATCTACCCCTTTTGCGTTAAAGATAAAGCGTATCTATTTAATTTAGCTCAATAGCATGATATTTAGAACAATTCATATTTTACCTTTCTTATTAAATTTTTCAATGCATCAATTTTAAATAAGAGAGAACGTCATATACGCATTTCTTTATTTTTTCTTCTGCAGACTCATAAAAATTCAAAGTTGTCTTCATTATTGGCTTAATTAAATTACCTTATATATCATTATAATAAGTACAAAATACAGCCGACTTATATAAACTCTGAGAAAATGTTATTATTCCTCATTTCTAAGATGTATGGATAGCATGGCTACTATCCAGAAAGTAACAGTAACAGACAGCAACAGTTCCGAAAATAACAATATGTAATTATTAAAAACACACTACAAAGTTTAAAAAAATATACCACAAAGTTTTAAAATTCTCCTTTTAAAATAAATGCAGTCTTAAAAGTAATTATTGTAAATCACTGGCTGCTACTCAGTTACAGAAAATACCTGAAAAATTATGCATGATGTCGGAATTAAACCAAGAATGTGATGAAAGAGAAAACAGTTAGGCGGGGCTACTTTCAGAAAAATAAAACGAGAGAAATTTGTGAGAATTTGAGAAAAGTGTGCTTCTTGATATCTATTACACATAAAAATTATGCACTCATCCGTTCAAAACGTTTGCAGAAATGCAGTGCATGAAACTTCCAGTCATTGAATGCAGTTGTTAGAGATACATGCATATCTCTGTGGAAAAATAGATCCAGGATAGAGCAGTTATAGCATCTTTCGACCATTCGGAGCTTTGTCACACTCTGACCTCACTAGGTTTTCGAGATTAACGTTTTAAGGCAATTCAAGCTAACCGAAATGACAATCTATGACAAATATCAGAAAAGGCATTCACTCAGCGCTTTAGGAATGTTAAGACCACTTGAGCAACTGTGTGTGTTCCGATTAATGTTATTTCGGGAATGGTAAGATAGTAATTTTTTACATTTTAGACAGATCTGACTACTTTACAAATATCCTCCGTGAATCTTTTATAGGTAAGAGTAGCTACGTAAAAAAATATGAAATTTTGAATTTAACTGCGCTGTAATTAATTTCATTTTAATTAAATTTGTGCTTGCTAATTCTGATCATTTAATAAAACTTTTAGCTAGTATTTTTCAGCCTTATGTCGTTACTGACCTTTCAGCTGATTAACATACTTGAAAGAATCATAAAAAATAAGCTGAAAAAATTCTAGATTTTTCAGAAAGAATTTTTATTAAATTATTATGATTTTAAGTTGAATTATTGTTAAGCTGACAAGCCGTCCAGTCGCCATAGTGGTTACTGACGCTGACTGCCTTACCGATGGGCCCGGATTCGAATCCCGGAGAAGGTATGGATGCTTGTAGACAAAGGAACACTCAAAATGCACAGCGAGCCGAAAGTCTATCTCAAGAGCTTGATGGTAGGGAAAGAGAGGTGAAGACCTTCCGGCCACCGCCTCCGAGGTGTTCTCGCTCGAAACTGAGGCAAAACTGCATAGCTAATATTGCGGGATTGTACCTGTACGATCAATGTTAAGTTTCTGTCTTGCTCTCTTCTACCAGTATCTGTTGACAATTCATTATTTACAAAGCTTTATAAGTTTAAAAGATATCTTACGTGCGGCTTTAAAATCTGTCTAAGCAATCTTAAATAACTATACGTGTAACTTCATTAAAAGTAAAAATTACGGTAAACTTATTACAGTAAAAATGGAAGCGTATAAAGTGGATCTATGTCTCTACATGCTCTCTGGTTTCACTAAAAAGGAAAAAAGAAAAGAAAACGGCTGCTAAAACATATTCAATCATCAATGAGAGCTGTTGAATCCGTCTTATAAGTGGAAAAATTAACTTAATGGTAAATCATCTTCCGAAAAAAACAACATTCGGGAGTGAGTAGTAAACAAATGAACCTTGGCACTGCTCAAATATTAACGTCATGGAAAAAAGAAAAGTTGCATTTTCAATGTTAAATAAATAAATACATTAAGAACTCAATGAAGTTTT